CCCAGACTCAGCCCCTGAAAGAAGATGCAGAAGGCAAGGCTGACGGGTGTAGTGGGAAGCTCTTTCACATCACGGTATTAGCTACGTGCTTTTTTTTTCTCGCCTGTATTTTGCTAGGGCAGAGTCCTGAGTGAAGAGGATGGAGCCGCTTCATCCCTTGGCTCACGCCCAGCTGCGATGCTCCTGAAGGTCATCCCTGACGGTCACACATCCTCCTGGCAGGGCTGAGCAAGGCTCTGCGGGCAGGAGCACCCAAAGCAATATTTGGGCCGGGGTGCTGCCCCCGTAGGCAGGGGGGCTCCGGCAAGAAGCGGCTCACAACACACCGAGCCAGGCTGGTGAGCACAAAGCTGGGGTTACAGGGTGAAGGGAGCTGTACCCACAAAGAGAGAGCAGCAACAGGGAAGAAAAGGAGACCCAGGCTGACCCGTGGGGAGGTGCATTGGGCACGGCATTGCTCACGTAGTGCGACAGCAAGACTGGAAAAGCCTCTGGCTTTGGAAGACTGGGATGAATAACTTTGCTCAGGACCACGACCTAGTCCTCCCCAGTAACTTTAAAATATTGACCAGCCATGTCGGAGTTAGAGACAAAGCAAGTAGGAAAAAGCACAGGAGTGATCCTGTAGGACAGTGTCCTCATAACCGCTGGAGACTAATGAGATGGTTAGAATAAGGACCATGAAGAATTAGTGACGTATCGAACCAGAGGTTACCCCGGGAATGGCTAGCTGTGCTCACTGCACAGCCCATCCTTGTACAAGAATGTTGCGTCTGTTCTGAGCATCCTCCTCAGGTCTTTACAGAAACGTTCCCATTGCGACTGTGAAGACCTGAATGAAGGCTGGAGCCTTGGGGCTGCTGCGAGGATGCAGCAATATCAACCGGCACTTTCGGTGGCTCGGAGGGGAAGGACTCCACCTTCCGAGCGTATTTCATTAGCTCAGCTCCACACGAGCTCCTGCTGGTGCTGTTGGAAATGTCAGGCACGTCTGGAAGGGCTTCTGCAGCAGCAGAGATCACTGTGCCTGCTCCGAGTAAGCCCAAAGTTGCTGTGAGTCCCTCCCGGAGGGCAGGCTGCTGTACTGATACCAGCTTTGTCCGAGTGAACCTGGCTTCTGGTTCAGAGTCGGGCAGTCCTTGTCCACAGCGAGCTGCGGAACAGCACAGTGCCACGCCGGAGCTCAGTTCTCACTTTACTCCAGTGTGTAGCTGTGGAAAACAGACTCCTTCTTATGGGAGGATGTCTAGGAAAAGGTGGGATACACCTGCGAGGAAAGACACAGGTAGGGTTGGTGCTGCCGTGGAGGGCTACACGACCCCTCAAAGCCCTTCCCAACCTATTCCCGGTAATTCTGCCTTTAGTCTTCTTTTATGTCTGTTATAATTCTGTGGGGTTTATGACGCATTTTTGTGTATTTGTTGCATTCCTCAGGAAGTGAAATGAATGATGGATAAATTAGTTTTTAAACTGCAAAAGTAGTTAGTGTGGAAAAGCCCTAACCAGGCCAGGAATCTGGCCCTTCAGGAAAGGCTAGGTTTAAATTTGAAGCTAACTTGTCTGTTGGGGTGAAATCAGAGTCTCAGCTGGAAATATTTTTTCCACACCTCCTGGCTTTGAGAAAAATGCAAAGTCAACTCTGAATCAAACTTTGTGGCTTTGGTCCTCTGAAATGAATGCAGCTTTGAGTCACTCAGGGTATGCTGCAAATCACGCTTTAGTCTCTGCATTGAAGGCTGCTGTTAAAAAAACCACATTACAGATAAAACCATTTTTGTCTGCAGCCTGCTGTGCCCAGCACTCAAGCTAATGAGAATAACAACCATTTCTGAATTCAGTCGGTGGTTTTTGACTTGCTTGGAGTAGGAGCTGGAAGCTGGACGCCGCAATGGCTTAACACAGACTGGACTGGAGCAAGACGGATTAGTGACGGGGCAAACAATTCCCATTCTGCAAGAAGAGAAAGCGAACAGAAAATGCAAAGACAAGGCATTTCTTGAAACTAGCAGGACTAGGCTGCATTGCACAGGCAGTGACACTCAGCAAAGGTGACAAAGCCGCCTCTTCTTGGCACCGCAGAGTCCCCAAACTCCGATCTCTCCAGCACACATCCATGAGAATCACTTGTGCAAATGTGCTCATCCTAGACTCCAACTCCATTTAACAGACACGATTATCTCTCTGAAACAGCCTGACAAACTGATATTTGAAGCCCATGAGCAAATGGGCCAGCAGTAAAAACACAGGCTTTGTGCTGCTCCTTGCGTTTCCCAGTTGGGAAGAACACAAACCCGGCAACGAAGTCCTGCAAAACAGACAAAACCCTTACGGTCTGTTAAGAGCCACTGTATGTCTATGTACAGTGGAAGTACATATGCATACTTTTATACAGATATATAATATATGCATAGACATGTATACACATACATGACTCACGTTTTTTCTGCACAATTCTTTCCTGTTAGGTTCAAAGAGACCCCCAGTGATATCAGAAGGAACATACACATTGACTTAGAAGTTACATCGGGTGCTCAATGAAGATGAAAGAGCTTTTCTTAGCATCGCGTACCGCAAACAGCGCCTGGCACCTGACCCGCACTCTTCCCGGGGAGCTGGTGCTGGGTCAGGCGGGTTCACTCTCCCCGTTCCTTGCCACGTTTGCTCCATCGCCTTGATCTGTGCTGCTGTGGCAGTGTGCAGGACACGCAACTGAGATAAGGAGCGGGGTGGGCTCTGAAATGGGCTGTTCCCATGGCCCTGAGCCCCCTCGGTATGAACAGCCCTTTCCCTGCTCCCTCAGAGAACACCCTTCCTTCCTTCCTTCCTTCCCTTCCTTCCTTCCTTCCTTCCTTCCTTCCTTCCTTCCTTCCTTCCTTCCTTCCTTTCTTTTTTTTCTTTTTCTTTTTCTTTTTTTCTTTTTCTTTTTCTTTCCAAAAAAAATGTCTGAGGAATGACTCCTGGCTCAGCAAAGGCCAATGATGCAAACTGTGAGCCATCAAAAGGTGTTTTCCAAAGCTGTAAAAGTACAGCCTGCAGAGCAAAGAGGGGGTAATTAAAGCACGCACGTGCCCGTTACCTGCGGGATTGCCTTTATGAGATATGCAAGCAAATGGAAAGTACATGGTATTTCCAGAAAGCATTCTGTCGATCCTCTTTTAGACACGGATATAGAGATACATTGCTTGGAAGTGAGGAGCCGTGGTGCCGAGCAGACAGAAAAAGGCAGTAGTGCTCTGCTCCTGCTGGAAACAGTCTCCTGGCTTCTCCTGAGCTGCCAGCCGCTGCTCCTGAGTAAGGCAGCATCTTCTCCTTGGGAGTAGCTGCTTCTCCTGCTCTCCCTGAGCTGTGAGATCAAAGGGGTGTCTAAGCCCGGGTCCCGTGTGGTATTGAGAAGCAAGGTTTTCCCCAACCTGAATCCTTACATCCAGTCTGAGCACAGCCGTGATCCTGAAAAGCGATGGCATGCTGCAGTTCAAAATACACAAGGTGTCAGCCTGGGACAGCTCCGGACTGCACCCAACTTCGAAGACAGTATTTGAGCAGAAATGCATTTCTTAGGTGTTAAAAAAAAAAAAAAAAATTAAAAAATTAAAAAATTAACAAAACTCCTTATGATTGCAGGTTTTAGAAGATGGAGTGTCTGAGTTAATTTTCACATGGTTATTCCTACGATTTCCTTTCCCCCAACTATAATTCGTATTTATGACACTTGCAATTTCTAACAAGCCCACAGTCATTTTTGTGAGCCTGGTGCT